GATAAAGAGAAAAGAAATTTAGAATGGTTACTCTGAAAAACTTTTGGTTTCAAAGGTCAAAGGTTAATGCTCTTTTTTAATTAAACTTTTAATTCAGGGTTTCCATCCTGTGGTGCTCGCATGTACACCGGGTGCCGCCGCGAGGTGGCATTTCAAGGGGTGCTAACTAGTTTGATTATAAGAACAGAATAGCCATTGACTTTTTAACAGATGATATGGCATTTCATATCTATTATAGATAACATTTTAGTCCATGTCAGTAAAGGATAATTTTGCAAATTCTGCCTAGCTCTCTTCTGTTTCTCGTGTAATTTAATTGATAAAATAAAAGAGAAGAAATTCATTTAGTTTTAATTGTAAAATTGACACTTTTTTTAATTTTATTTTTAAGAGCACTCGACACTAGTAAAACTATAAGGGAAATAATCTAAAAGAAATTATGGCTCAAAATAAAATTTTTTCCCCTTTCTTCGCAAGACTTCCAAAGTTTACATCATAAAATGTTAGGAGATAATATTAACCAAGCGATCAATCGTTGACAGTAGAGCCGTCTTAAGGCATGTGGGCATACTGTGCAGTTGCCCAAGGCCCCACGCTCTTTAAAAAAAAAATAAAGAGGGGGGGGGGGCGTTGTTTCCTCAATGCGTCTAAGGCAGTGGTTCTTAACCTTTTTTGGAGGTACCGAACCCCACCAGTTTCTTATGCGCATTCACCGAACCCTTCTTAATAGGAAAAATAAAATATGATTTATTTTGTCTGATTTTTTTGGGACCTCCACGGAACCCCTGAGACTGACTCACCGAACCCCTGGGGTTCGATCGAACCCAGGTTAAGAACCAACGGTCTAGAGACATTCAACGTTCCCATGATATTGTGACAAACAAATAAATAGTTAGAATTAAAAATTATACTTTTTAGAAAATTAAAAATAAAGGATTTGTATGAACACAACCAGGTCAAGGAAATTTAAATATTCACTAACATATTATATTCTGCTGCTCGCCGATTAAGTGTAGAGTGATGCAAAACTAAATTCAGGTACGATCCAAAATGCAACACCCACTTTCCCACCACGTTTTGAATTTATTAAAATGTTCTAGGAGGGGCTCATTGAACCCCTTCCACAAACCTCATTTCACGTTTCGCTCGGGAGCCTTCGGCGCTCTTGTTTTCTGCTCCCTCCACGATCGAATTGACAGCAATAGCAATTTTTTCTAAAATTAATAATAATTAATTTTAAAAAAAACAACTCTGAATTGTCTGAATGATCTCCTTGAAGTAACAAAAATAATATTTTCCTTTAGTTTGGTTGGTATATATTGAGATGGACTATATAGATTCCATGGGTGGAATCAAGATGGGCTCAAAAACATACCCTCAGGGGCGACATTATGCCTAATTTTGTAGCTAATAGATGGCATGGCCCCTTCCCGAATGCCCAAAAAGCCCCCCCCCCCACTTCCGATAAAATTAAAAGTACCACAGGTCATAACATTGTATGGACAGCGCCCTTAATGCCTTTCCTCACAGTAACTTTAATGGAATGGTTTATACACAATTTTAGCTACACACTGATTGTGTGAAATAACTGCACAAAAGTTGGAACATTGTTAAAAAAACAACATTATTTTTTTTTTAGAAAAGGTAAATTAAACGTAGATATATGTGATAGTTTTCTCGAGATGACGACACAAACAGCATCAATCATATATTATGTTCTGTCGAGATAAATTAACCCCCCCCCCCCACAAAAAACTAACCAAGGTAAGTTAGTATACAAAAGACAACATACCTTAGGTGGGAAAAGAAATAAAGGGAGGCCATTCAATCCCAAGAAAAAAATGTTTAAGACAAGCCAACAAGATTTCACAAAAGCTTAAAAAATTATTGAAGGCAAAAATATATCAGGGCAGAAAAAATAAAAAATAAAAAAGAAAAAAGAAAAAAAAATAAGAAAACGTATGCCTTATTCGTGGGTTGGTCTGAAACAAATAACTAAGTAAAAATAAAGGTCACTTTCCCTAACGACCTACGTCATGTTACACTTACCCCTGTTGCAATGAAATGTTTTGAAAAACGTATCCTCGGACCCATTTTGATTGAAGTACAGCAACAACTTGACCATCCACTAATTTGCTTATACATCTGCCAGAAGCACATACGATGCCATCTTACTATTATTGGAAAGACTTTACCATTACCAAGACCGTCCTAAAAAATATGCTAGGGTGCTTTCACTTAGACTGCTCGTCAGAACTTAACACTATCCAACCACACCATAGGATTGAAAGGCTTTCTTCGTCAGGAGTCCATTCAAATATTTAAGCATGGATACTGAACTTTTTAACAAATCGCTCACAACATTTGAAGGTAAATGAACAAATATCGGTAACTAGAGAAGTAAGTACCCTGTTGTGTTTTCTCCCCTGTTCTGGGTATAATATCTACCTGTGACATCCAGAGTCCAAGCAATACCGTTCCAATCAGTAAATTAGCTTATTGACACCACCATCGTTGGACTACTATCTGAAGTAGATAGCTGATTACGTATACCACCACCTTATAGTTACAAGCTTTATCAGTGGGTGCGATGAAAAGTTCAGTTGAATGTCTTAAAAATTAAAGAAATGGTTGTCCATTTCCAGAGAGGGGAAATCACCCAATTGCAGAAATAATCAAAGTATAGAACAAAAATAGAGGTATACAAGTACCTAGGTGTCACCATTAGCAATAAGCCGAGACGGCTTGAACACGCACACTCTTTGTATAAGAACGTCAAGCAAAGACTTTTCTCTCTTAAAATATTGTATGATTTCGACATAAACAAGCGCGTAATTTATTCTACAGTGCAACAATTGTAAACCTCTAGTACAGTGGTTCTCAACCTTCCTAATGCCGTGACCTTTTAATACAGTTCCTCATGTTGTGGCAACCCCCAACCATAACATTATTTTCGTTGCTACTTCATATAACTGTACTAGAGTATATTTGTTTTCCGATGGTCTTAGACGACCCACGGGAAAGGGTCGTTCGAGCCCCAAAGGTGGCGACCCACAGGTTGAGAGCCACTGCTCTAGTATCAGACTTCTACTAAAGTTCAGTATTACCTTCTGGTGTGTGGAGTCACCGTCTGACATCAAACAACGATTTCAACAGACTCACCAAAGCTGCTAGAAACATCACACAAACGAAACATCCTTCACTTGAAGAACTATTTGATGAAAAATGCTGTTAAAAGTAAAAGCCAAAACTTATTTCGATGACACATCCCACCCTCTTCATCACAGATACCCGCGATCGGGAAGGGGGGGGGGCGGGATTCTTTCTCTTAAAGTTAGGACCTAAAGATATACACATTCTTTGTTCACCCGTCTGTACGAATTTACCAGAGTGCTCCCACAGTGATTATCAACTCTAAATGTCACCAAGTTCATTTATGGCCCAATTTTGTACATGTCTTGTGTTTACATTTGTATTATTGTTAAAAGTTGTCTTGGTTTAAATATGTCTTTATTTATGTGCTGGAAAATGATTATGTACAGTGTAAATGACACATTTCCATTTATTTTATCGATAAAGAATATTAAATGATCTTATCTCTCGTATTCGCAACTGCTGAATAATGCGCTTCTCATGACATGTATTATGTATTTGAAATTAAGTCAATCAAGTCTTGTATATGGGCAGCCAGTGATAATCCCTTTGCTGTATATGGGCAGCCAGTGATAATCCCTTTGCTGTATATGGGCAGCCAGTGATAATCCCTTTGCTGTATATGGGCAGCCAGTGATAATCCCTTTGCTGTATATGGGCAGCCAGTGATAACCCCTTTGCTGGGTTTTATGAACACGTAGATGCTGTAATTTTTCACTAAATAAACAACCAACAAGATTAGTGTACAAATCCCTGACCATGGCACAATATGAGACTCTATTATTGATACATTAGTTTAAATCTGAAGAAAAGGGAGATCCCGAATCACAACTTCGGACCCCTTAAATATCAAGACACCTCCAACCCCCTGAAGGGCCCACTCAACGGCTGTGGCTGTAGACCAGTGGTTCTTAACCTTGTTGGAGGCACCGAACCCCACCAGTTTCATTTGCGCATTCCCCGAACCCTTCTTAATAGGAAAAATAAAATATGATTTTTTTCTGATTTTTTTTTTGGACCTCCGCCGAAGCACAGAGACTGACTCACCGAACCCCTGGGGTTCGATCGAACCCAGGTTAAGAGCCACTGCTGTAGACCATTGGTGTGCTACCCCCTCCCCTCACCCACCCCCCCCCCACGACATCGTCCAACCACTCAAAGCAAACGTTAACAAAATTAATTTAACAATAACAACGTCACAGCAAATTTCCATTTCAACAAATTTCAAAGAAACGACGCTTCTTGGAATAAATACTTTCATGTATTTATGTTTGAAAACGAGAATATACTTTGGTATGTTATGGGTCAAGATTATCCATGGGTTTTATAAACTGTCCACTATGTAAAAGTTAATGTCTTTTCATATGTATAGGAGAAAAAAGGTCCGTAAATTCACATACCACTGCATTTCCTTCTTTTTTTCTTTTTTTTTTAAAATTTAAATAAAAAATTCTAATCGATAAATAGTAAAATCTTAAATACTTGGTATAAAAGAGTAAAGTAACGTCTTAAACACAATACATGTATAATAAGTGTACCATGTCACGGTGACCAAGTCTTACACCAGTGCGCTACCCTCTCAATGTCCTTCTAAGCCACCAAGTTCTGTCCTATTAACTGCTTAACATTTTGTCGCTGTCTTTGTGAGTTTGTCGTCGCTTCAGCCCCGCCCTTCCCCGCGCTACTTCCCCACCCCCACCCCCCCCCCAAGTTTAACGTATTCAAAGAGTCAAATCCTAACTAACCAAAAACACACACACACAAATGTCTTGGAAAGAATTGAAAGGATGTCGACGTCGCTTCAGCCCCGCCCTTCCCCGCGCTACTTCCCCCCCCCCCCCCCCCCCCCCAAGTTTAACGTATTCAAAGAGTCAAATCCTAACTAACCAAAAACACACACACACAAATGTCTTGGAAAGAATTGAAAGGATGTCGTCGTCACATTTTTTTTTTCATTGGTTGGTCTGTGTACAAGTTGACAATATCTTCATAATAACTCCAGATGTCACATTGCCTGCAACAGTACCTCATTGCCTAACAGCTGGTAACGGTACCGCCCGCGCACGGCGCCCACATTCAAAGCGCCGCACATAGCCCTATAGTCACACCGTCTCCTCTAAAGAAATATTGGGTCCAAGCGTTTGTCCCAATTAAATCAATATCGCTTCTCTTCCGTCAAGTATTATTTAAAACACCATAAAAAAAGAATATTGGACTAGATCCACACGACTTTCAGAGCATGGGGTTCTGGTTTGGGGGGCGGGCGTGTCTCCCTTAGTACTCTTCACCCTCTCCTTCGCCTTCTTCCGCCACAGAGTCGAGGCCGACCTCCTCGTAGTCCTTCTCCAGGGCCGCCAGGTCCTCACGGGCTTCTGAGAACTCGCCTTCCTCCATGCCTTCACCGACATACCTGGTTGGTTGTCAGAAACAGGGAAGGTAAAAATCACGTCTCTTTGAGCGTATCGGAAATTGGTTTGAAAGAAATTTCGTCAACGGAAGTTTGGTCGAACGGAAATTTGATCGAACAAAAGTTTGGTCGAACGGAAATTTGATCGAATTTTTATTTCAGTTCACACTAATTTTCGTCAAATTTCTTTTTGAACGCACTATACCATATAGTAAAACAAAATAATGCGTTCAAAAAGAAATTTGACGCAAAATTAGATCGTGTGAAGTGAAAACAAAATTCGATAAAATTTTCGTTTGACCAAACTTTCGTTCGATCAAATTTCCATTCGATCAAACTTCCGTCGATCAATTTTCCGTCGACGAAATTTCTTTCAAACTAATTTCCGGTAACTCGCTTTGGGTGGTCTAATGGTGGAATGTAAAATTACTGTCACAAAACTAGAAGTCTTACAGTTCTCCCGATATTTTTCTTTGTTGAAGTTTAAAAAAAAAAATCAATCCATCCTTTTATGTTACATAAAATAATGCATAGCCCCCAATTCAGTGGTCGGCAACACGCGGCTTTAGAGCCGCACGGGTTATTTGGAGGAATAGATGTGGAGCTTTTACTAATCTGTGGTTATATTTTTTTTTAAATCACCCCCACCCCGCCCCCACCCACACTCATTACACACACTCGCCTGCGGCTATCATAATATTGTCTTAGCAGTTATAATTTATAAAAATGGCTCCCCGCTCAAAAAAGTTTGTTGACTACTGCGACAATTCGTTTAAAATTTCCAATTCATATCAAGTTTATTATACTTGATGGAATTGGTTTTGTTTGCCAGTGGCTCTCTACAATTGGTCAACTTTGAAAGAGCCAGGGGCACACATTATTTTTTTGTCTTTGAAGATCCTGTCCATTTCCCCGACAGTCTTCATCTTCAAAATGGATCACTTTCAACTGACGTTTGAGAACCCCTAATTTAATCATTACAACATTATGTTCATCTAACACTTTACCTTTGATAACACAAAACCAAGTATCTTAACAGTCTCACAACCCAACCACTCGGCCTTCTAGTATCCGTCCCATCCTCGCAAACTCACCAGTGCACAAAAGCTCTCTTTGCGTACAGCAGATCGAATTTGTGATCCAGTCGTGCCCAGGCCTCCGATATCGCCGTGGTGTTGCTCAGCATGCACACGGCTCTCTGTACCTTGGCCAGGTCCCCACCCGGTACGACGGTGGGCGGCTGGTAGTTGATGCCCACCTTGAAGCCCGTCGGGCACCAGTCCACGAACTGGATGGTCCGCTTCGTTTTGATGGTGGCGATGGCGGCGTTGACGTCCTTGGGGACCACGTCGCCCCGGTACAGCAGGATGCAGGACATGTACTTGCCGTGCCTCGGGTCGCACTTGACCAGCTGATTCCCGGGCTCGAAGCAGCCGTTGGTGATCTCCGCCACGCTCAGCTGCTCGTGGTACGCCTTCTCGGCGGAGATGATGGGCGAGTTGATGACGAGAGGGAAGTGGATCCGCGGGTACGGCACCAGGTTCGTCTGGAACTCCAGGAGGTCCACATTCAGGGCGCCGTCGAACCGCAGCGACGCCGTGATGGACGACACGACCTGCGCCACCAAGCGGTTGAGGTTCGTGTACGTCGGACGTTCGATGTCCAGATTCCGCCGGCAGACGTCGTACACGGCCTCGTTGTCGACGAGGAACGAGCAGTCCGAGTGCTCTAGGGTCGTGTGCGTCACCAAGATGGAGTTGTACGGCTCCACGATGGCCGTCGAGATCTGCGGGGCGGGGTAAATGGAGAATTCAATTTTGGATTTCTTGCCGTAGTCCACGGACAGTCTCTCCATGAGCAACGACGTGAACCCCGAACCTGTCCCGCCGCCAAAACTGTGAAATACAAAAAAACCCTGAAGTCCAGTGCAAAGGTCAGCCAGCTTTCTCGTCCTGTCCAGCACCAGGTCGACCACTTCCTTCCCAATTGTATAATGTCCTCTAGCATAATTGTTCGCCGCGTCTTCCTTACCTGCAAATGATAATAAAATGTTGGTTGGTTTTTTTATTTAAAAAAAGCTTAGCTTACGATATTTGTAATCGATGAGAAGCAAACATTTTTTTAAAATTATAAAACATAACACTAAGATTTTCTATAATAAGGGAAGTAAGCAGTAAATGAAATGAACAAGTTTGACAAAAGAAAACAAAAACACACAACGAACATATCGGCAGAAAGCTTTCTTCGGTGAACTGAACAACTTTACAAGATTATACAGATAAAAATTGGAAGCAGGTTCCTGTATTGAAGAATAACAGCTGGCGAGAGCAGAAGTTTACGCACTTGGTGCGCATTACGAGAAATGAAGATAGGCACTAATTACCTGCGCACAATAACTCTTATATGACGTAGTGCTCAATATTGCAAATAATTCAAATATACGGAGACCATGAACACTCTATAACAAAGTAATAATACAGTAGAGTTGAATGGAACAAATGGCATATTAAAACTCACCCTTCCCAGTCATCTCAATACCACACAACATCTTTCTAATTTATACACAGTGGTGTTTCCTTCAATAAATAATACCTGGGTGCTTTAAAATATGGCCCTTCACAGTGATTACGATTAATACCACTAGTCATTAGTTTTTTTTACGTTAATTTAAAGCTGCAGAATATGATGTAGAGAGTGGATGTTCAGATTGCTAGCATCCTGATGCTTACAATGATCTCATTTAAAAAAAAAATATGTAAGTCAATCTTAGGTATAGTTTATGAAAAGATGATTGGATTCGGTCTGGCAAATGTTTTAAAAACAAGATCAAACATGAATGCAAAGAGCTTTTTAAAACACGTTCACCAAAAAAACCCCGAAGCGTGTCTCCCCCGCCCCCCCCTCCCCCCAAAACCACTTTCCCCCAAAGCTAATGAAAAGTGTAAACCTTATTTTTGATCAGATTCAAATGTAAAGGCAAGGATATCACAAAGATGGTACCATCTACAATGTAGTATTGGTCAAGAAGTTTCCCCTTGGATTCCATCTTTCCAAACCGTTTAAGAACACCCTAGCCTATTCAACACATAGCTGTTAGCTAATGTCCTAATGCCGCCATCCAGGAAATGAATCCATCAAGTACCTGAGACAACCACGTCAATGAACTCAACATCCGGTAGACATGTCCACGCCAGGAGAAGCCAACACGTTTGTTTCATTGGTTTACTTTGGTCAGAACCCATCCTCGTGTACCAATAATACTATTAATAACAATGAAATAAGGAATTATACGAAATTATATCATTTCGATGTAAACATTCACCAACAGCGCCATCTGGTGAAATGCTTCTGCCTAGAAGGCTTTCTGACAGTAACAATACATACACGATAAGGGTTAACTGGAAGTCCACTTACCCGATATGAGCTGTTCCGGGTGAAATAATTGTCTGTAGGTCCCTGTCCTCACCTCATCCACCACCGTCGGCTCCAGGTCCAGGAAGGCCGCGCGCGGCACGTGCTTCCCTGACCCCGTCTCGCTGAAAAACGTGTTGAACGAGTCGTCCCCTCCACCGATCGTCTTGTCTGAAGGCATCTGTCCGTCCGGCTGAATCCCGTGCTCCAAGCAGTAGAGCTCCCAACAAGCATTGCCGATTTGAACCCCGGCCTGCCCTAGATGAATCGAGATCACTTCTCGCATTCTGGCCGGTTCTCAATGTGCGACTCAATTTCCAAAAAAAAAGAGATTCGATTTTATGGGGAATTCACTTGTTAAGAAAAAAAAAAGTAATTCATTTACCGTGTATGTTACAAGTATTTGGGGGTCGAGTCTTCCCTTATTTCTTTATAGTGCAGTATCATTTAAAAACAAGGAAGGCGGTTCCTAGGCGACGCCCTGTCTGACGTCATAAGCAACAATACGTCAACGCGCTGAGGATTCCTTATGATTTTTTTTTCACAGAAGAGGTTTAGAAATAGAAAAGTTGGCGTTGAGGTTATTTTAAGTCACCGAAACAATCGTTCGTGCTTTACTCTCTTACATTTATTTATTTTAAATTACTTTTATGGAATTCCTTCTTTTTTCGTTTTGTGGAGGTGTTCTAAGCGAGGAGACACTTAGGATTGAAACAGCTCTTTAGGTTCACTTTAAAAAATATATATATATAGACTATTCATAGAAATTGCGCATCTAACAGGAAATTTGACGATGTTGTCTCGCCAATTTGTTACTTCCGTATATTATATTTGAAGACAAAACTCGGCTCTGCGTTTCCCCCGTCTTTTACAAGCGTTCTTTTATTATCATTATTGCAATTATTTTTATTATTGAGTTTAAAAATGGAGAACGGTGTTAGTCGGAGTCAGTTTATTCTCACCGTGACGTCATGTCATAGGTTAGATGATTTAAAATAAAGTTTACGGAGTCCAGTGCACATTTTTAAAAAAAAATTGTATTAAATGAAAAATAAAATGTTCAATTCAATTAAAAGCAGCATGCTCACAACGGAGAATTGGAATTTGTTTTATAATAAAATGGCGCAAAGACGTATTTCTCAGTATGATTCTTTTATCAGGGTCAAGCAGTTAACAACCCAAGGGGGCGTGACCAGTGTATTTCAAGTTTGAGCGCGAAACAATTAGTGTTACGTCATTAATTCTCTTTATTTATTTTTGGTATGTGGGAGATTTCCTTGTCAAATCATTCTAGTAGCTGTTAAATTTTAATGTATCATCTATTTTTACTCCAAATCGAGGTTATCTTTAAATCTGACCTATTGTGTATTATATATCTATCTTTAACAAAACCAACACATTTTTAGATTATATCGGCAAAGATTGTCTAGGGAAGAAACTAAAGTAAGATTGTGATAATAGCAGCTGATCTAACCACTTACCACCAAACAAATTAATTAACGTAAATTAATTAAATTTAGGCTGTGGTCGCACCTTTCTTGATATACATCATAAATTAACAGGTTCGATTCTCCCAACTAAGCATCTGTTTTCTAATTCATTGCATTCACTTTGCTCATCTGGTTTTCAATATGTCCGTTTAATGCCTTTCCACCAAGCCACCCAAAAGATGCATACTAAAGTATAATTAAAATTTAAACAGCAGTAAACGAAGTCTGAAGGTTTACATGTTTCAGGCAGAGTGTGAAATCCAGGCATTTCTATAGGATGCCTAGGTAACGTGTAGCATGTCTGATGTATTCACACTTTGACTAGAGTCGTCTCATCATCATCAATGGCACTACAGCCCATGTAGGGCCCTGGCCTGCTCCACCACATCCTTCCATTCGGAGCGATCCATGGCTTTCCGTCTCCATGCTCGAACCCCCAACTGGTGTAAATCTGTCTCCACATCATCAATCCACCTCATCCTTGGGCGACCGATGAGTCGTTTGCCCCTAGGCTTCTGCCTGTATATCATTTTGGCTGATCTGCATTCCGGCATCCTTTCAACATGACCTGCCCAGCGTATTCTGCCTTTTTTTTATCATTGTGACTATGGGTGGTTCTTTGTACAAATCGTAAAGTTCTTGGTTTGTACGTATTCTCCAGGTATCATTTTCTAACACTGGTCCGTATATTTTGCGGAGGATTTTCCTCTCCCATGTGTTGAGTAGGTTCTCTGCTTTTCTGGTTAGGGTCCAGGTCTCACTGGTGTACGCTACTACAGGTCTTATGATGGTGGTGTATATTGTCTTCTTTGTTCCCCTTGATAAGTTTTTGTTTCTCAGAAGCTTTTGTAGACTGAAATAGGAACGGTTTCCTGCTGTTATCCTTTCGTTCACCTCTGACATTATCTCATTGTGCTCATTTATAGTTGCCCCTAGATATTTGAATGTGTCCACTCTCTCAAATTTGTGGTTGTTTATATTGATGTTATCATCAGCATGGGAGTTTTTTGACATTATCATATATTTTGTCTTCGGACTAGAGTCGTCTGGCATTCTATAATACACAGTATACATTAGTAAACAAAGGGAGTTGAGCTATAAATAAATAAAAAGCTTAAAACGACTCTGAACATGTATGACATTGATTTTCAATTACAGAGTTATTTAAAAAAAAAAAAAAAACGAAAGCATTTTCTATTTCTGTAGATTATTCAATTTGAGTAGTTGACGTATTTGAAAACTTGCGGTTTTTGATGTAGAGACTGCAGATAGACATCGTGGGCTTAAGGTAGGACAGATTTATACCACAACTGGCAAATATCATCTAATTTGCATGGATGAAGGACATCTAGGTTCTTTAACTAACAAATATGTTTGAGGTGGTATGTAGGAAATATATGTAGAGTATTGAGGCACTGTAGAGAGAGCATTCGATGATAATGAAACTGATTTTTTTTAAAAATCTCATGAATGTCTTGCTACCTCATGACGCTCTGTGAACGTCGGGATGTAGATTTGATGTGTTAAATCCAACCTAAGTCTAACCCAATCTTTAGTACAACCCAATTAAAGTCTTCATAACCCAATCTTAAGTCTAACCCAATCTTTAGTCTAACCCAATCTTTAGTCTAACCGAATCTTTAGTCTAACCCAATCTTTAGTCTAACCCAATCTTTAGTCTAACCGAATCTTTAGTCTAACCGAATCTTTAGTCTGCATTAAAAAACGGAGACCCATAGGGAGACATCTTGTTCCCAGCATCATAGGCACAGCTTGATACCAACATAATAGGCACAGCTTGATACCAACATAATAGGCACAGCTTGATACCAACATAATAGGCACAGCTTGATACCAACATGATTTGGAACACCTATTTACCAACATGATAGGCACATCTTGATACCATCATAACAGGCACATCTTGATACCAACATAATAGTCATATCTTGATACCAACATAATAGGCACATCTTGATACCAGCATGATAAGCACATCTCGATACCATCATAATAGGCACATCTTGATACCAACATGATAGGTAAATATTGATACCAGCATGCTAGGCACATCTTGATACCAACATGATAGGCACATCTTGATACCACCATGATAAGCACATCTTGATACCAACATTGTAGGCAAATATTGATACCAACATGAAAGGCACATCTTGATATCAGCATTATGAGTTACATTTTTTGGTACTCTTGAGAGAATATTTTCCTTCTTTGGTGCATCCACTCGTCGATGGCGTGTTTGAATTAAACACACTGGAATGCCGGTTAAAGGACTGTCAACATCACGAAGGAGTGCTCATCATGCTGCTATTAGACCGGTGAAAGACACGTCGGATGAATTTGTGTCGGTGATTGAAGCTCTATGTTATCCTCTTGAAAATTTGGTTACTGTCCATGGCTTGGCTTGTATAAGTCCAGTGGTGGGTGGTGTCAAGATATTTGTTTTTCTTTCGTTGTAATTACAGCTGTTTTTTTTTTACTTAAATAAATAAATATTATTTTTTTTATTTTCTTGATTATGTTTGCTAAAATTTTTATGAACAGCGCGGTAAGCCCTGTTATATAACACCCCTAATATATGTATAATATATATATCAATGATTTCCAGAGCTCAAGCAGCATCGTTCCAATCATTAAAGTTGCTCATGATAGCACCAGCGTTGGCTTGATATCTGGAATGTCATCCAAATTCTTTTTTTTTTTTAAAATATACATATTTGACCTAAATAAACAAAGTATTAACTTATTCTTCAGAGCTCGATCAGGGCGAACTCAGGACCGAAAGGTATACATATTCTTTTGTTCAACATTCTGTACGAATTTACCCGAGTGCTCCCCCGGCAATTACCAAATTTAAATGATCCATAAATAGGTCGTTATTGTCACTAAGGGAGTTCATTGACGGCTGTTTTATGCTAGAGAAATACTTTAGATGTCTTGTGTTAAAATTTATCAAAATTGTAACATGGTGTCTTGGTTTAAATATGTATTTTTTTATGTGCTGAAAATTAATATATGTACAATTCAATTTTAAAAAACTTCCATTTATTTGGATCAACAAAGTAAATCTTATCATTATCGTATATGGGGAACTTAGCGATTCGCAAAAAATTCTTTGGTCAAGTTTTTACATTAACATTTCCAGCGTTGAAGCAGTTTTGAAAATGTGGTTTACGCGGACAACCGAGTCAATAAAAATTCTCCCTTTGTCAACTTGATACCACAACTCGATACCACAACTTTATACCACAAATTCACACCACAACTTCACACCACAACTTCACACCACAACTTCACACCACAACTTCACATCACAACTTCACACCACAACTTCACACCACAATTTCATACCAAAACTTCATACCACAACTTCATACCACAACTTCATACCACAACTTCATACCACAACTTCATACCACAACTTCATACCACAACTTCATACCACAACTTGATACCACAACTTGATATCACAACTTCATACCACACCGTATGCATGACTAGTTCCTTGACAGTGGCGTCACTCAGCTTGCTGTCAACCAGTGCGGTCAACTCATGTTGACATCCCCTCCCCACCCGACGCTTCCAAGTCCGTCTGCACTGGTGTCACCACGCAGTTTGACGCCATGTTCTGTTGGCACCCTATTCTGTTGGCACCTTGTTCTACACATGGGATGAACCTGCTAGAATGGCATCATGTTAAATTAGCACCTTGTTCTAGTGGCACCCTAGCTATGATGGCACCAAGTTCCGACGGCATCATGCTATGATGGCACCCTGCTATGATGGCACCCTGCTATGATGGCACCCTGCTATGATGGCACCCTGCTATGATGGCACCCTGTTTTGGCTCTTGTGTTTAACATTTGATCAGTTAGAGGGAGCTCAATCAAATTTTCAAAATTCCATTAGTTCTCACCCCCACCCCCATAAGGGAGTCACCAGGTGCAGACCGCACCCCCTAGTGACGCTACTGCCCCTTCCTCCCCCTTTCAACACA